TGTTTTTTCTTAAACTTTGTTAAACAAAATTTATTATCTATGAGTTCACACACACACACACACACACACACACACACACACACACACACTACAGAATTAGTCTTGGTTACCTTCACATAAAAGTAGAACTTTTTCCTGTCCTCTGTAACATAGGAAAGTAAGGAGAAAAACTCCCAATGTTTCTATGAATTAGTTGTGTTTCATGTATGGATTTGTAACCACCATCTATTCAGGTGAGTAAGAAATATTGTTTACTTTCATTTGAATCGATTAAATCAGAATGTGAGCTTCCAGGAAATTTCAGCTTTGTTCTTTTTGGTAATTGCCTCTCTCTTCCCAGAGTTTTATATCCCAGGGATTTTACCCCCATACTATTTAAAATAAATATCTGTATATCTTCACAGAACATTCTTTGTACATTTTAAAAACAACTGTGGCAAGATAACATCATCCATATCCAGAACTTTTTCACCATTCCAAACAGAAACTCTGTACCCATTAAATCATAACTCCCCACTCTCTCCTCTTCCAGCCCCTGGGAGCTCCCTATTCCTTCCTTCTCTCAGTCCCTGGTAACTCTATTCTACTTTCTGTCTCTATGAATTTGCCTATTCTAGATACCTCACAGAAGTGGAATCATATCATATTTATCTTTTCTCTCTGGCTTATTCCCCTTAGCATAATGCTTTTAAGGTTCACTCATGTTGCAGCTTGCATCAGAATTTCATTTCTTTTTTATGGCTGAATAATATTCCATTGTATGTATACAACACATTTTTTTAATTCATTTATCTGTAGATGGGCACTTGAGTTGTTTTCACTTTTTGACTAATTTGAACAATACAGTACAAACAGTGGCGTGTATCTGAGTCCTTGCTTTCAGTTCTTTTAGGGTATATCCTATGTGTAGAATTGCTGGATCATGTAGGAATTCCATGTCTAACTTTTTGAGGACCTGCCAAACTGTTTTCCACAGCAGATGTATCATTTTATATCCCCATCAACAATGCACAAAAGTTCTCTATACCTTTTTGTTTTGATAGAAATATGGATCTTCCTAAAGGGTACAACTTTCCTCATAGACACCACGCATTCTCCTGTGCATCACACACTGCATGGTTCATCCTTCGATACATACAGCTGTTTATTTCAACATGTAGCTTTTATCTACTTATTTTTGGGTCGTTTTCCATTATGGCACTTACAGTGAGTACCTCAACATATGCCAATATTTTCAGAGACAATATCCAAATGGGTATTCAAGTACGTTAGTTTCATAAATCCTTGACTTCTTTATATCTAGTGACCCCTACCTCTTCTCAGTTTCAACTATCTACTACTAAGGCAATACTTTTAAATATTGTCAATGCTGAGAATGAGTGCAATCTCTGAGAGCTTAAAGAGCAAGGTTCCACTTTCTGACTACAATCTCTGATCCTTTTAGCTCCTGAATTTTCTTAATCCCCCTACTTTTGCTTTTTGATCTCAAGATTTATGGTTTCTGGATTTCTCCTTTTTCTCTTGGTATACTCTCAATTTTATTCCTGCCCTATTTAGCTCAGACTATCATTCATCATTTCAACACCTTTTTGCTAGTTTACTTTCAACCACTCTCCTCTTCATCATGTTAGTCCTGCATATTTGTAATCCTGAATCATTCCAATTCTTTGCCTTCTTTGCTTCTTGTGTTTACAAGAACCACTGAATGTGTGAAGTTACACAACTGTACAAACCAGAACTCATACAAATCTATAGCATCTATCCCCAGCTGACTCTTCAGGATTGCTTGTCTTGTTCTTTTTGCCCTTATTCAGTTCTCTTTCCCATTCTCTTCAGTAGCTGCTCTGTTATTCCTTCCAAAACTTCCTGTCCTCCGTCACTTTAGAAGCTCACGGTGACCCTTACTTTGCAGAAAAAAATGAAGCCTATTAATTGCAAACTGAATTTCATTTGTATTCCACAGCTATTCTTATCTCCTTCACTCCTGTCTGTGACCATCTTCCTGTTCAAGGTAAACTCTTTTGCAGATTCTAATTTCCATCTCTTCCTATTTCTTTAGGAATCCTGTTCCCTGACAATCTCTCTCTTGGCTCCTTCCAATTAGTCATAAACAGGCTCAAATATCTGTCATCTTTCAAAAACAAAAAACATAAGTCCTTAACCTATCTTCCTTTCTTCTCAACTATCATTAACATCTTTCTTATTCAGGCTTCTTCAAGGACCATTCTATTGTCCAAATTACTACATTACCTCTAATCACTCTTCAATTCACAGCTAACTGACTTCTACATCTAATGCTTTATTAAAACCACTTCTGTGGAGGTTACTAATGACAACATAATTTCAAACAAAAAGCTAAGAGCTATACATACTTAAAACAAGTGTATGAGGTAGGTACTAGAATTCTAATTTCACAAAAAAGGAAATGGTCTTGGGGAAGTTCATTTATATAAGTCATAAAGGCAGGACTCTCTAAGTGCAAATCCCAGGAGCTTCACCATATTACCAGTATTTTTTTTTTTTTAAGTAGCAGTAAGAGGGGTATATGTGAAGAATATCTTTAAGCCAACAACTGTTAACTCGAAGAGTTGTTCAACTCTGTTACAATCATGTAGATTAAAAAGTCTTTGAAAAACAAATAGTTTAGCTTTACAATTTTCAAAAATCTCTCAGTAATCTTCTGCAATTCAATAGAAAGAAGGAGGAACATTAAGAACTGGCATCAGGTTCATTTTTGAAGAAGAAATGTCAGTTCATGTAAGAATATCATATGCCTCTCAGAATTTATGGACACTGTCACTTCATCGATAAACACCTGTTGTCCTACCTCACAAGGATGGCAGGAAAAGGTTCCATAAAAACTCTCCCTTATCAATAGAGTGAAGCTACTTCATACCACACTGAGGTATCCAAGGTCTGAGCACAAATCATACGATACTTGTAAGTCCTAGTAGAGGGTTTAATATATGCCTCTATTATTCCACCAAGAAGAGACCCTGCTGTAACGCAGCTATCTGAAATGTGCATGCAAAGCAGCATCCCTCAAACTGGGATACACGTGGGAATTTCTAGGGACCTTAAAACACACTGATAGCCTAGTCCTACACCGAGACTCCAATGTAATTGGCCTGGGAGGAGATGGGGATTAGGGCTTTTAGAAGCTCTTCAGGTGATTTTAATGCACAGCTACAGTGGAGAATCCATTGGTATAAAGTATGGAGGAAAGATTGTCATATCCACTCTATAGTTTAAAAAAAAAAAAAGGGTGGATTGCTGAGATGTCTTTATTCATTATCAGGTTTCTGCTTATCTACATGACCACACATAGACACTGCTTCTAACTGCAGGCAAATGATTTCCCAGTCAGCAATCAATTTACTTAATATTTTTTTAAGTTTATTTATTTATTTTGAGAGAGGGAGACAGAGGTAGATAGAGAGGGAGATAGAATCCCAAGCAGGCTCTGCACTGTCAGCATGGAGCCCGATGCGGGGTTCGAGCTCACAAACTATTGAGATCATGACCTGAGCCGAAATCAAGAGTCAGACACTTCACCACCAGGCGCCCCAAACATACTTAAATATTTGATCACTGCATTAATTCCTAAGGCTGCTGTAACATTGTAGCACAAACTGGGAGACTTAAAACAGAAATTTATTGTGTCAGAGTTCTGGAAGCTACAGGTCCAAAATCAACATGTCAGTTGGACTATCCTCTCTTTGACGGAATAGGTGAGAATCCTCCCAGGCCTCCTCTAGATTTTGGTATCTGCTGCCAATCTTTGGGATTACTTGACTTGTGGATGCCAGGCAAAAGGCTGTCTTCTCTTGGTGTCTCTGTACAGCCTTCCTGTATGTGTGCATCTCTATGTCCAAATTTCTACTTGTTATGAAAATATCAGTCATATTTGGTTAGAGCCCATGCTAATGACCTAATTTTACTTCGTTACCTCTTTATATAGAGAATTTGCATCCATAGAAGCCACTGATATTTTCACATCACATTTCAGTGTTTGCAGTTATCCCCAAAATACCATTTACAGTCATCACTACTTTGAAATTATGGTTGTTAATAGACTTGGTGTTAGACCTAGTTATTTAATGTATTAATAACGATGTGTGAATATAGTAATATGACATACTTGCATACCTATTTCAGTAAAACTGGTTTTGATTTAATTGCATTTTATGTACTTAACCACATTGTTCTGAGAGGACGCAAAAAACTAAAAGAAAATCTTTCAAATACCCACAGTCCAAGTTAGTGAATTCTTACGTTTTAGACTTCAGATTCTTTTTAATCTTATCAAGTATCAGAGAACATATAGAACATTGTACATCATTTTTCAAAACTTTTTTTGTTTTTACAATGATCCTTTGTGAAAAAATATACAGATATTTTACAGATAACCCAACAATCTTATTTCTCTCTCGCATAACACAAAACTGAAACCAAAGTATCACAAAACAATATTTACTTTAACTACAGGAAATGCACTCTGACATTTTCTATTCTATTTCTTTTCATTAAAAAATGCCAGTGTGACCTACTGAGTTAATTTCACAACTACTCTTGGAGCATAAATTAAATAAGTGTTAAAAATCCTTCAGTGGCATTCCTTTAGAAACTTTTCATATTATAACTGGTGAAAGGCTATTACTGCTATTCATGTACTATTTTAGAAATATGTATCATTTTAGAGGTGGCATTTAGATGAGCAAATAGTTCAATAGTTAACTAGACTCCATTCAGACAACTGGTTATAAGTTATGTAAATTTTATAAATCTGATGGGAATCTAAGCTTAAACTTTACCAAATGCAGGAAAGAAAAAAAGGTAAAATAAAGAATATTTTGTGCCTGAATCATTTTAAAATTACAAAAATATTTTAACTGAATAATGTTTAATTTCCTTGAGGTATTTCTTCACTCACTGTAAAACTAGGTAGAAACATTTCCCAAACCAACATTTCTTTATGCCCAGGTTAAAAAGAATTTTACCTGTAGTAAACACGAAGTGTTTGTATTTCTTCCTCTAGTCTTTTGTACTGTTGAATTGCAGTTTCTCTGGCTTCTTGCATAGCTAACAACTTTGCCTGTAAGTAATTAATATTTTAAGAAATTTAATATTGGTTTTGGTATGTTAAAATATATATTATAGTATAAACAGGAACCTTAAATTTCTGGTAGTTTTATAATCGATCAGTATTTTTAGTAGTGTTTCATAATTTCCCACAAAATAATCAAATTATATTAATAAAAGACATATTGAAGACAAGAACATATTAAATTTATCAACTTTGCTCATTACTAAACTTCAACCTTATTCATCTGTATCATCAGATATATGCCCTTCTGCAATGTTTAACTTTATACACAGAACTCAGAATGTGGAACATGGGTTCAGAGCAATATCAAGAATAAGATAAGCACAATGGGTGTTTCACATACAAACTTAATGTGGCTCCACTGCCTGATCACACTGGATTTTCTTTTAACTTTATTAATAGTAAAACCCAGAAAATGCTAAATATGTTAAGCTATCTTTGATATTTAATGTGAAAAAAATACACAAGACTACAACCTGATTCTTACAGATATGACTTAACCTTTGCAATTCCTTTTTGGCAAGGAAAAAAAAATCTCTAAAGGGAGAATGGCAACAATCTTGAGTGTCAGAGGTATTTTATTCAAGGGATGTTATTGTTCCGCTCTGCCTATAGTATTTAAATTTTAAAGGGTCTGTAATCAGTTTTTCGAGAGTTCAAACTTGTAATTTTAAAAGAATCGCCAACTTCCAACCACCTTTCCCATTGGGTTTCAGGTATAGCCCAAAAGAGTTTTCATCAGAACTTTTAAAATAGGGTGCTAGTATTCAGATTTCAGTTTTGTTTATTCACAGCTTAATTTGCATGAAAATACTGTCTTTCACTTTCAACGATGTTATCATATACCTTGCACACACTAATGGCAATAATTAAAAAGTACTCAAGTTTGGAGGCAGAAGTTCACTAATTTTGTTGAACTCATATAATTTCTCTGGGATTATTTTCTTCCATAAGAATGAAGTCATAAGACAAACTGTGAAATCCTGACCAGAGGAAAAGTAGTGTCATGTAAGTGAACACTGGACAATGCCACTTTTCTATTTAAATAACAGAGAATAATAAAAACATGTAGCAGTTCAGGTCTCTGTATATAATTTAGGAATTAAGTTAATTGATTTGTTCTCTATCTGGGTTAGCAAATCTAACAGAGTTACTTCTTAAATTTAAGATATTTGAGTGCTTGCCTTAACATGTCACATTCTAGAATTATAGATAAAACATTCTCAAAAATTATTAAAAAGCATTTAAAAATAGGTGGCTGGTTCTTTATGCCAATAATTGACAGCATTCCCAATTTTCAGTAAATTATAAAACGTGACTGAAATGTTAACATGAAAGGCACAGATACCCATCGTGACTAAATGGTTAGTCAAAAAGAATCACACAAAAAAGGACATATCACATTCAACTTACAAAATGTCAAACATCCTGTTGGATGTATTTAAGGAATATCAAATACTGGACAGGTAATAGAGAATTTGCTAAATAAATATGTTACAATGACAAATACCTTAGACGACTATTTTGATTTTTTTTTTTTTAACCTGGTACTTCTGCTGAAAAAAATGAAACAAAACAAAACAAAACAAAAAAACAAATCCAAAACAAAACAAAAACCCCTCTGACACCAAAAAACAAAACCAACAATGTTCTAGTAGGAAAAAGCCAAAATGAAGATTTCTGCCTAAGAAATTTCTGCAAAAATAGGAACATGAAAATTTTACTTAAATTCCCGTGCTTCTAGTAATATTTATTTTTTCACTTCTCTTTTCACGTTTAGTTGGCTATCAAGATTTGGTGTTGCTTCATAGCAAATCCACTGAATTTATTAATTCCAAACGTCTAATCTTATGTCTAGGCCCTGGTGACTATGTTCAAAGCTATTTTAAACCTTCTGGCTTTACAACCACCTTTTTCTATTTTATCAGATATATGTTCATCTGGCTAGCATTTCCTTTTTAGAAAAATACCCTTACCCTTTGCCACAGTGATCTTGTTCAGTCCTGGTGGCTAGAATGAACTTCGTTCCCCACTACCTCAGGTATGTATCATCCAGGTTGTTCAAACACAGTATTCCATCCCACCAGCCCCAGAAGAAAACTGAATCCTGATGACATCACTGGTACTCCTGGATCCCCTATGCCAGACAGTTCCAGATCCATTCCATTTCTTGGACTCCCTGGGTAAATAAATCTTTTTTTTGGCTTAGGCTAGCTTGAGTTGGATTTATGTTATATGTAAGAAAACTAATTTAAATGTACTGTTTACTTCTATTTTATTTCCTAGTTTCACTATTAATGTCCTATAATTCCATCACATTACAGGTCAATAACAAACTTTATGTCAAAACCATTAAGGAAATCAGTGAACAAGATATTTTTCCTGTTCCTCAGGCATCATATTTCTCGTATTTCCTACAGTTTAATTAATAAAAATTGCATGCATTCGTTTATGTGTGTATTCATATAAAAACATATGCATTAAAAAAAACTAATGAAATTCAAAAAGTACAAGAAAATGTTCAATGAAAGTAAATCTTTGTCCCATCTCCAACACTCAGTACTACAAATCCCCTCCTGAGATTAGTAGTCACCTGTTTGTTGTATACACTTCCAGAAATTATATGTGAATATATAAGCAGACATGTATATTTACAACTATGTGTGTAAATATATGTATAAATATATGTATATATTTATATATGTATAAATATATGTATAAGTAAACCTATTTACAATATTGATGGGATTGTTTATACACTGTTACAAACTTTGTTTTAAATTTAAAAAATATTTTGCTATTTTGCTTCCTATTTAAAAACAAATCTTTTACCCCAACCCATATATTGCACTTACTAGTTACATTCCCTCCTTCCCTTCCAACCGCCCCCCCCCCCCCCATCGCCTCAAGTGAAACATTTCAATGAATTTGGGCTCATCATTTTCAAGGATATTTTATACTTTCACTATATGGCTATGTACTTTATAGATAATCTATCTTCAAGAAACAGAATATTTCCATTACCCTAAAATGTTCCCTTGTGTACCAATATAGTCAATGCTTTCCTTTTACACCCAGTCCTTGGCAAGCACTTACGATTTTTAGCCCTGTAGTTTTGCCTTTTCTAGAATGTCACAGAAACAGAATCATATAGTAGGCAGCTTTTTGAATTCGGCTTCTTTCACTTAACTTAATGCTTTTGAGCTTTTGAGCATTACACATACCAACAGTTCATTCCTTTATATCACTGAGTATGGATGTACCACAATCTATATATCCATTCACCAGTTGATGGACATTTGGGTTGTTTCAAGTTTGGAGCAATTATTAAAATTTTTTTTTTTTAACGTTTATTTATTTTTGGGACAGAGAGAGACAGAGCATGAACGGGGTAGGGGCAGAGAGAGAGGGAGACACAGAATCGGAAACAGGCTCCAGGCTCTGAGCCATCAGCCCAGAGCCCGACGCGGGGCTCGAACTCAGGGACCGCGAGATCGTGACCTGGTTGAAGTCGGACGCCCAACCGACTGCGCCACCCAGGCGCCCCATGGAGCAATTATTAATAAAGCTGCTATAAACATCAGCATATAGTCATTTTGTGCAACTATACCTTCATTTCTCTTAGGTAAGTACCAAAGAATGGAAATGCTGGGTCTTATGGTAAATGTGTATAATGTGTTTATATACTTTATATAAAATTATATACATTGTAAAGAAACTGCCAAACTTGCTGCCTAAATCGATGTAACTTTAAAGCATCTGTGTTTAACTATAATAGCAATGCCATTTGTTGAATGCCTACTATAGATTGGGGCATTGTATCAAATGCTTGAAATCTATGGTCTAGCCCCACAATCCACCTATGAGATAACTCCTATTATCCCTGGTGATAAAACTGAAGTTCATGAATATTAAGCAGCTTGCAAAACTATAATATTCTGGTATATACATTATGTAAATACATGTAAACACTTAACATATATGTTTACACATACACATATATCTGCTAAGTCAATCTATATTCTCAAGAACATATGACAGATGACAAAAAGTATTTAAGAATTTGAAAAATAATACCAACGTGTAGGTTCACAAGCACTTGGTAATTTTGTTTTTTAAAGGTTTTATTTACATTTTTTGAGAGAGAGAGAGTGTGAACAGGGGAGGGTCAGAGAGAGAAGAACAGACCAATTCCAAAAAGGCTCCACACCATCAGTGCGGAGCCTGATATGCTAACTGTGAGATCATGAACTGAGCCGAAATCAAGAGCTGGATGCTTAACTGAATGAATCACCCCGGTGCCCCAGGGTTGGTTAATTTCCGTGTGTCATAGCCACACTTGCAGGGAAAAGGACAGCAGAGATGTACTATATACTCTTGAGCATGCTGCCTTTTTAAATATCACTCAAGCCTTTCCACATATAATTGCTCTTTTTGTTCTTTATTCTAATTCCTCCAAAACGACACCTAAGTTTTTCTTAAACTTCCACCCAAGTCCTGCTCAAGGTAAAAATGCAGGAAACTTGATGCTATACTTCTGCTCATTATGTGCATCATTTGCATTGAGTTTTGATCCATACAATGTTTGGATCAAGTGTACAAGACAAGGAGTCTTGTAACTGGGAGTCACGTTGTGTATTTAGTTTTGGTAATGGGACCAACTGTGAGTCAAGACTATTATTTAGTCTTTAGCTGGATCTTTTGCTTCTCAAACTGTTTCTGGTTCATCTCTCCCTAATACTAGTAACATTCTGCTGTTTACTCCACCAAAATTTACCTATACAAACATCTGTCTTGACTAAAACATGGTCTCCTAAATCCACTAATTTTACCATTATAACAAAAAGTATTTTTAAGCATATATCATCACAATTATATTTTTTAAACTCTCTAAACAAATTTTATAAACTGATCACCAAATTTCATTGAATCTAATATGCTACTGATTTTATTATTTCTTTTATTTTCCCCCTTCATTTTATTTTAGA